CCCCAAAACCCCAAAACCCCAAAACCCCTTCAGATAAATACAGTAAACTGCAGCAGTGAATAATAATGAAATGATTTGATATTTAGAGAATTATTTGTATTATGTATTAATTTCACATTTTGAATGAATTAGTCTTAATGCATTCTTACTTCATGCTGACTTCTCTTGAATATCACTTTATGGCCTTATCAAACTAGGATTTACTTTCTTTTTCTTTTATTAATCTGATGCAAAGGTATTCAAATTGAGATAAATAACAATTAGGAAAGCTGAAATACCACCTGCAATCGTGCCAATTAAAAAATTATTGAAAGCTGAATCAAGATAACCCTCCTACTATTTTTAATTCTATTCCTCCTAGTCAAGTATCTCAGTGGTTGTGTTAACAATTGCCTCATAATGTTTTATCAAGTCATTTAATTTATCAGATTGCTTTATGGATGATTCGCCCACTTATTTTAGAATATCAATGAAAGCATGACTCATTGTCTCAGATTGTTTTATTTATTAATCATTCAATGTCTCCTCAATGGTTTGCTTTAATTTTCTTAGTTATTCCTCTTATTCATGAGAAGGTAATTTCTATCCTGGCCTCATAGGAGTAGATCCCATTATCTCAAGCATCCATTTCTTCAAATTATCATAGTTTCTGGGAAAAGCGCTAAATTGCTAATGAGGTGCTCCATTTGTATTTGGAAGTACAGAGTAAATAGTAGGGTAACCTCCTACTCTAAATTGGAAACTGATATCTCTATTATAAGGTCCATCTATCTTTAAGAAGAGAACTTATTCAGGTCCATACCACTCTGTCATATCTTCTACTATTCTATTGAAATCATCCATAAGTCTAAAGCACCAAGGACAATATTGCATATAGAAATCGATGAATATTATTTTATCTTTGTGATCAACTTCAGTAATCTTCTTAAAGTCATCCCATCCGCTTACTGATCTAGCGTTTACTTTCTCCCACCAATTTGGAGGGATTATCTCTGCTTATGATTGTTTTACCAGTAATAGCAAACTCAAAATGCTAAACATTAAATGAGCGAGGATAATTGATTGTTTCATTTTGATTTTATTGTAATTTATAAATTTCTAA